GAATGGCTTGGAACGGTCAACTGTGGGGTCATTTTAGCAGAAAAGACCTGAAATGGCAGGCTTTCCTTCTCTTTCTCCTTTTCCTCTTTGTCTATCTTTTCCTTTTCCTCCCCTCCTCTTCATCCTCTTCCTCTGCTGTTCCTTCTCTCCTTCCTTCCTCCTCCTCTTCCTCCTTCCTTCCTCCTCCTTCTTTCTCTCCCTCCCTCCTCCTCCTTCTCCTCCTCCTCCTCCTCTCTCCCTCCTCCTTTCCTCCTCTCCTCCCCTCCTCCTCCTTCTCTCTTTCCTCCTCCTCCCCTCCTCCTCCTTCCCTCTCCTTCTTTCTCCCTCCTCCTCCTTCTCCTCTTCTTCCTCCTCTTTCCCTCCTCCTTTTCCCCTCTCCTCCCCTCCACCTCCTTCTCTCCTTCCTTCCTCCTCCTCCTTCTCCCTTCCTCCTCCTTCCCTCCTTTCTCCCTCCTCCTCCTTCTCCTCTTTTCCTCCTCCTTTTCTCCTCTCCTCCCCACCTCCTTCTCTCCTTCCTTCCTCCTCCTCTTCCTCCTTCCCTTCCTCCCCTCCTTTGTCTCCCTCCCTCCTCCTTTTCCTCCTCCTCCTCCTCCTCTTCCATCTATCCCTCCTCCTCCATGCTAGCTGAGGAATTTGGGGAGCTCAAGTCCCCAAGTCCCCCAAGTCTTTAGAAGTTGTCAAAGTTGGACTTCTCTTCTCTAGAGACGGCCAATCTTCTATGGTTGATGATGAAGATAATGAGGAGGAGGAGGAGGCGGTGAAGGAGGAGGCAGTGGAGGAGGAGAAGAAGAAGAGGAGGAGGAGGAGGAGGAGTGGGGGACAATGACCGACTCACCATCCTACCTCCTTTCATTTTGCCTTCTTTTCTATCTTAGCCCTGGCTTCCTCTAAATTTCCTCGAACTGCCCAGGGAATAGAGGAGGAGGAGAAGAAAGCATTAATATCCAAAGTGTTCCACTTCAGGAGGAAATAAAAACCCAGCAAGAGGAAACGAGGAGAAACTTGGCACGCCGCAACCCAGACAGCCATCAACATAATGGTCAAAACAAAAAAAAAGTCTTTGCGTTGAGAGCAACAGAGAAGAAGGCCGCGTGACTCTTGACCATTGCCCTCTTGTAGCTCCCGATTCTTGGCGGGCTTCCTGAGCGAAAATCGCAACCCGGAGTCAACCGTGGCTTGTACAAGCTGAGCAGTTGGCATTTCCCCTCCCCCCTCCCCAAAAGGACCCCCACGAGATGGGTTTGACATCAGCCGTACCCTGGGCTCTTCCTCCCGATGACATCACACAGAGTCAACTGGTGTTTTACATCGGGCTTATCTTAACATTTACATTACAGAACCGTGGATTAAATCACGCGCTGGGCATCGCCAAGGAGATTTACTTTCTTGTCGGACTCGTGTTTACACAGAAGTCAGCAAGAAATAAGTCCGTTAGACGTGAAGTGGGGGGGTGGGGAGAGGACCGGTCTCCAACAGCCGGCAGGCAGGGAGGAATCCTCCTCACCTTAAAGGGCGTGGGAAAAAGGAGCATCCCTTTCGTAAACATGCAGAGTAAGTTTTTACAACATGGAGCAAGCGCTTTGGGGTTTATTTATTTGATTGAGATCCCTGTCTTTTTTTTGCTGCCCCCCTCCTCCCCGCTCCCTGCAAGAAGTTCAAGCCACTAAACTGCCTCCTCCATCATTTCCCTACAACAATCCTGCGAGGGAGGATGGGCAGAAAGGATCTCTATGAGCTCTATGGCCAAAGGTGGGAGTTGAACTTGGCTTTAGGCCAACCGCCTAGCCAAGTTCGCAGCGGCTCTCCATCAACTACAGGTCGTCCTCGACTTACGGCCGCAAATTGGGACAGGAACTCCTGTTGCTAAGGGATGTGGTTTTGAAATGAGCCACGCCCGATTTTGCAATCTTTTTTGCCTCCGTCGTTAAGCAAATCACGTGGTCATGAAGTGAATCCCAGCTTCCTCCATTGACCTCGCTTGGTGGGAAACCCTTGGCAAGGTTGCAAATGCCCCTCCCCCCCCTTGGATGCTGCAACCCTTTGTAAATACAGGCCAGTTGCCCAAATTTTGACCATGTGATTTGTCTGGAAGCTTACAACCCGTCGTAACTGCAAGGGCGAGTCACAAATCGCTTTGGTTCAATAGCGTCGTAAGTGCAAACAGTCCTTAAATGAACCATCATAAGTCAAGGGCTACGTGCAAAGCGATGTAGGAGATCGTTTTGGAATCAAACAAGGCCGTGTTCCTAGAATAAAGTAAATCTGATTTAATTCCAATAGCAGATCATATGTATCTTGAGTGTTTTTATACCAAAAGGGTCAGCTTGTGACTAACTCAAGAACTGGGGTGAATCCTACTGAATATCTCTATTTTGGGGTGGGGGGTGGGGTGGGGTTTCTAATTTGACTGGGAAATCATCGCAGAGGAGGGCAACATGATCTAGAGCAGGGATCGGCAAATGTAAACGCTCAAAGAGTCACAAAACTCCTAACCGGAAGC